CCGCCTTATGCACAGTTGTAGGATGTACTCGTAGGTCACCGAGGTAAGTTTTCAAAACTTTGACTTACGGGTCTAGGGGACGAGTCGTAGGGGCTTCCTACGACTCGTGGTATGAGTCGTGATGGGTCAAAATATTTAAATTTACCATTTCAACCCAGAGTTTCAAATCTGCCCTTCTTCTATTTTAAACCTCTCCAGGACCTAGAGCGACCATTTTTCCCACGCAAACAAAACCAAGTACAAGTTAAACCTGAATCCCTCACACCCTTAACTCAAAAAAAAAAGAACCTATGAACAATTTCCTGCTCAAATTAAATTGTGTCTCAACCCACATTCTTGATTACCAGTCGAATAAAGAAGCAAGAAGTAAGTGTATTGTATGGAATATCGGAAAACTTATTTTCTTGAATCCATGATTATCAAACCCTTGTGTGTCTTTGTGTTTGCTAAAAAATTTGAAGGAGACAATGATCAAGGGTGTTAGTGAACTATGTGTGATTGGGGAGAACCTACAAATATTTCCTGCTCAACTTAAGTGTGTATCAACCCACATTCTTGATTTCCGAGTCGAATAAAGCAACAAGCAAGTGTATTGTATTGAATATCGAAAAACATTTGCTTGAAGTCGGGACTATGTCAAACCCTTGTGAGTCTTTGTGTTTGCTCAAAAATTTAAAAAGCTCATAACTTCAACCAAGGGTCGAATCACTCCAGAATCACCTCAGGATCCATGAAAACTACTAAACTAATTCATAAATCACCATCGGGAACCATGAGCTTCCAAAACACAAATTCGAGCTCGTTAACCTTAAATATTGACTCTAGTCAAACCCTCCAAACTTGAAACCGTTCAAAATAGAAAATCTCACCCAATCTTCATTATATCATTTGGGAAATGGTTTCATCCACCTCCACAAGTCATGAATAACATAATAAAGATACGAAAAGGTTCAACATAGGCAAACAGATCAAAAATCATAGAATGACCATGAGGGTTGTTACATTTTCAAGCTTGGCTAATAACTACACTTCCTGGACTTCTACATACCCGGCACCTAAAGGAAGTAGGGAGTTACCTTACCTTGAGTGTACCCATTATTACCATCATCTCCTTCAGGGGGAACATCCATAGGGTTTTATAGAAAGGGAATCATGAGCACAAATTATTTATGAAATCTATCTTTGGGCATACTGATATAGCATGATCTTATGAGCAGATAGGGAAAATCTTAGGGACTGAGTTCATAGAGATAAGCGTGCTAAGAGACATGAGTTCACATACATAACGAGGTTCATGACATGAAGCTAAATGGGTAACATTGGGATTGCTGACTACTTGAGGTTACCTATCATCTTAGGGTTACGAACATAAGCATGAGTAGAGCATAGCATCAGTGAAACATAAAGGGAAACATCTAAATGAGGATGGATTGGTTACCCCTAAAAGTTATTTATAGAACTCCTTTACTAGAAAACTTAAGACCTGACTTGGCCCTTCACTTACTATTTCCGTACCTTCCATGAAATAAATCTCATATTTAAGCCATAAAGGGATCTTGTACCTTGTACAATAGTTCTCAGAACTAGAAATCATGGTAGGTTCGATGGGATGAAACATAACATGCCCAGGACTACATCGAGTGATTACCATTGCTCTTGTGTCAGGTGTTGTTGAGATGGGTGGGTTGCAAACTTGAGAGCTAGGGCGGGCTCCGTCTGCTTATCTAATGGAAGGGCAATCTTCGAGTCTTTGTCCGATCTTACCGCACCTGAAGCAAGCATCCTTGCCGATCAAACACATTTTTGAGTGGTTTCTACCACACCTTTGGCAAAGATGGCTAGCCAGATGGGGAATTCTTGAAGGCGACGGGCTCGACCTCTTTATCCATCTCGCTTGGCTGAAGTGCAATCTCTGTGTTGCGGCTAGGATGGACATAATATAAGCAAATATCTAAACTTTCCACACACATTCCTAGGTGGTTCTTCCATAATGCAAGCTAGGTATGTAATCTCCCTCACCTAGGCTTGTATCCGGGCTTGAGCTAGAGACTTCCTAGCAGGGTTGAGAGCGACTCCCACTATAATCCTTGCTGGGAACTCTCAAGGTTTTCGCCTGGGCCTCTTATTCCTCCTTTGTTTCCCCTTAAACTCTCCACCCATATTTGATCTAAACTTCCTTAGATAGGATCCTCTTTGTGAGTTCTTGAACCTTGGCATCACTCCACGCCTCTCCGGTAGGGTTCACTGATGTGATAGTGTGCTGGTTAGGCTGGGTGATCATGGCCCATATCAACACTCTGAGGCGGCCCTGAGTTACGCATCTCACTCAACATGACACCCATTGGGTGCAGTGCGGGCTGATTGACTCTTGTTATTGTTACGAGAAGACATGTTTCTGCACACCGCGTATAACACAGAGTTAGAGGAATGGAGAGAGTCGAACACATGGCACTAGATAGAGTCATGAAAGAAGAGATATTTCCTAAACATCTCATAGCCTCTTCATCATAAGTGTGGGGGCTTCACACCCATGAAAGAATCTGCAACGCGGGTTTTAGAAACCTAGGACACTTCTAAATCTATTGCTCTGATACCAAGTTTGTCACGACCCAAACATAGGGCCTAATCAGTCGAGGATAAGGAGCCCCAGAGACTCTAAGTCAAGCCATGGCATGAACATAAATCTAATTCAATCAATAAAAGAGGAAGAATTAACATAATAGTTATAATAGAAATCTAAGCATAACATAACATCAGAACCGGAATTCACATCATACATGACAAGCTGATTACTACGTACGGTCAGAAAGACTACAACATATTTGATGGGTTGATGGGACAACACCCCAACTAACCCGACATGTATGAAACCGAAGAAAGACATAATAACCACGAATATTGAATGTCCTTGGGGGATGAGGACTCACCGATGCTAGTTGGAAAGGCCTTAGTGGGATAGCAGGACTGACCGATGCTAGTGGGATACTCTTTGAGAAAGATCCTGGTGTATCATGAGATGATACAACAAGAGTATGCGATTAGGTACGTGAAATGTACCGAGAGATGCAAGGTAAGTTAAAACGGATATTTAAAATACATAAAAAGTGCGTAAGAGAGTATTGAGTTAACATGAATTCATAACATAATATCATAATGTAACATAAGAGCAAAGTTTTCAAAGCATTAAGTAAATTAACCATAAGCATAATCATAAGAGAAAAACTTTATTAAAAATGAATTGAGTCAAAACCATATGAACATAACCATGCATAAATCATGAAGAACAAGGGGAGATTCTTATAATCGACATACCCCATACGAACACACATGGATCCCAACCTATAAATCCCTAGTCGGTAGAATGTTCATACCATGCCTGAGGTAGAACCATTAAGACGTGATATCACACATGAAAGGCCCAATTGGGGGAAAAAGGGACAGTATTAAGGGAGGTCTCGTCATGTCCTAGCAGTGGCGCGTAGTTCTGAGATTTGGGGTAAAACCTGGGCCTCAAACCTGCACTTGGTGTTAAATACATCCTAAAACATATATAATGCTCATAGGATAATATATAGGAATTAATGGGCCGATTAAATCATGATAATCTTAAGCATGCTCGTAAATACGTGAACTAGCCATGTGGGTAAGGCCCGTGAGTCGGCTGAAATCATAAATCGTAAATCATGAGGTTCATGCATACTTGTAAAAATGTATATAGTAATAATTCATAAATTCATGATGGGCATTTGAATAATTCATATCGTAGATCATAAATCACAAATAGGTTGAAGAACATAAAAAATCAAGGTAAAATCATAACTCAATTTATCTTAGAACATATATAATAAGTCATAATTTAATATAAATTTAAATCAATAAATTTATAAATGAATTAGTTGTAAAATCTGATCATGATTCATAAAATATGATGTAGAACATGAGAAGTAGTAACCTATAGATATATCACAAGGATTTCATAAGATTTAGGATAAAACCCCATAAAACTTTCAATTAAAAATTCATGAATCAAGAGGGTGGGTATGAGTGTGAACGAATTCACCCATTCATAACCCTACATAACTTAGAGACTTGGATTCTATCACTTCCTTACTTTCCCAAGAGGAATTTGAGAAGAATTGGAAGCACTTGAGCTTGATCTCCTCTCTAACTCCCTTACTTGCATGCATGGGTTTTGAATAGGTTAGAATGACTTAACCTATCTTAATACACTTTGAAAATGGCTTCAAATGACGTAGTATAGGACCTTCGAGCATAGGAATAATGAGAATACCCTTAATAACCCGCGAGAAAATAAGCTGCTTTTTAGTTCCCACACGAGGTACCTAACGAGTTGTTACATCTATCCACGGTTATTACATCAGTCATGAAGTTCACTGCCATTAATCCTCAGACCACTGATTACCTACAACCCATGACCCATCCCACGAATCATGATGACTGACCCTAGCGGGTAGGGTCTTTTCATAGGAAGTACACTCCTATTTTCTTCACCTTCTTAGATATCATTGCCCATGACTGACCTAATGAGTCATGGGGCCTGACCACAACTCGTGGTCACGTTCGTGGGGACCTTAAATCACAAAGTTCCAACTCACACCCTTAGCCTCACCATGAAGAAGATATTTTTCTTTTACCTTTTGGTGTGTTTTTTGTTTACCATGGAAACAACTTATATAGGAGTTGTAAAAAAGTTTTAAACAAGAGAATTATTGAAGTTTAATAAAGATTATTAATTAAAATAACTATTACACCAAATGCATGTTAAGGATTTCTTTTTTTCGATATGTTCGTCACCTTTGTAATGTATCCATTCTTTTAAATGCACAAAATGATAAAAATGTAGAATTAATTTCAATAATTTTAATTTGTGTCAATTGGATGTGTATCTTATATGCATATTGAGTGGATTGTTGGAGCTTGATGAACTTTTCTAGCCACGAGTGTAAGTAGACCTATTATGAGATAAAATCTCCAGTTGTTCCTCAGTAGCTCAGTGGTAGAACGGTCGAATGTTAACCGATTGGTCGTAAGTTAGAATCATACTTTGGGAGATTTAATTGATTATAAAGACAACCAACATGCAGTGGCGCATGTTCTGCAAAATGGGAATGTGGAGGAACCTCGAGTGAAAGATTTCTTGAGGATTAACTCACCGGAGTTTCTTGGTTCCAAGATGGACGAGGATCCACATGAGTTTATCGACGAGATTGTAAAGATCACCCAGGTCATGGGGTGAATGTAGTTGAGTGTGTTGAGTTTGCCTCACTCCAGAGTTGAAGGAGGTCGCACACATATGGTTTCGACAATGGAAGGATAGTAGGAGCCAACCGGGCAAGGCCCTATCGATTGGGAGGAAGTCTTTGTTCTTTTATAAACTATTTCAATTAAGAACACTTGGATTGGAAATAAGGGAAACTTTTTGAAATGGTTCAACGAATGTAAAAAGTCTTCGCTTAGCTTCAAAGACAACTTTTATCAATAGAATTATTTGTTTGACTTCATTCGACCATTAAAGAATTCAATCGATGTCATAATCTCTATCAACTCATCTATCCTAAGTCATACACTCTCCATAACTACGAATCATTATAAAAATATTTTAGTGGTTTAACATAGATCAATTTCTTTCAAATTAAGAAATTTTCTGTGACACTTAATATCGACACATTTTAATTTGGGTTGTCTAATCTTAGGTTACCCCACGGGTCATAGAACGACCGTTCTTTGACCTGATACCAGATTTCAAATTTTCTCCATTTCAACTTAGGGGTTTTGATCTTTAGGCTTTTGGGGTATTACAATATGCCCTATTGATAGTACCCAATATACCTTTCTAGAGTATAAAGGCATGGATAGTGTGATCATTAAAAAGTAACGCCTATTCGAGCTAATAAGCTACGGTGGCATGTAGCTGCAGGAACTTGGGTGTGTTAAACCCCCACCCACACTCGGTGCTAAGTACTACTCCCCCTTGGAACATATACATACATACATATATATATATATATATATATATTAAAAGAAGTCTAAAAATTGGTGTTCTATGACTAAGTCAGAAACTACTTTATATGAAAGTACCACGAGAGTCTAAAGAACCATGAAAATACTTGTAGCTCAAAATGGGTGGTTCTAAGGCTAGTTAGAACTACTTTATATGAAAGTGTCCTAAGAGCCCTAAGAGCCTGAAATATACTGATCATACTGAAATCAGTGAAAATCATAGATTCAAATCCTTACTGTAAAACATGTATACTGAGAGCTAGACCAAGTAATTCGAAAACAATGCTAGATCATGGAGACTAAGCCTATGAAATCATGGTGGTATTGAATCATTGAAATACATTATTGCAATTAAGAAGTAAAATCCTTGAATATCATATACTATTCATCTTAAGAGCCAACAAAAATCAAAGGAGAAAATAAGGAAATCATACATGGAATGAAAACCCTAAGACATAATTTCTAAAAAATTAAATTTACTAGGGTTTTTATGATGAGTAATTGGAACACAAGGGTAAAAGGAAGTACTTGGTAAGTCCCACATATTTGGAATGAAAAGTTTTTTCTACTTGAGAGTCCAAGAATTTTGAGAAGAGAGCCCTTATTGTTCTTGAACATAAGAGGTGAAATGTTCTCAATTACTCTAGGGTTTGCATCAAGTCACATTAGAACCCATATATTTGGTTTAGGAAATCATTAGTTTAACCTTAGGAATTAAGGAGAGCACTTACCTTAGAGGACTTGTGATTGGAGATTTTTGGAGAGCTTAATTCCACTTCAAAACCGTAAAATTTAGGGAGAGTATAAGGTATGGACGTTTAGCTATCATATGAGTAATGGTCGGAATGATTTCTAACTTAAAACATAAGATATATATAGAAGTGGGGTTTGGATAGGGCCTTGTGTGTCGCGCCAACTATAGCACCGGCTTGATTCTTAAGGAGTTTGGCCCCTAGCATGCTGCACTTGCCATAGCGCCACTCTGATGAACTTTTTCCATCTGAATTCTGGTCCCAAGAATGGTGCACCTCCCAATGTGCAAAATCAGATAAAACTTTTCTCTGAAGTTTAGTGTTGGGCTCGGTGCACCTACCTTAACGATGTCTTAGTAAAATGCTCATAACCTTTTACTCTAGACCTCCGATTGATACAAGATCAAATAAGCATGAAAGACTCAAAGGGATTCAATTTGATGGGTTGATCGCAAAAAATACTTTGTAAGGTGGGAGTTATGGTCATTTAAAGTTCCTCGTAAGAACATATATAAAATCTCAATTGATAGGAAATCTTAACACAGCGATATGTTCGGAAGTTCCTTATGAACTTAAATTCATATCAATGAACTTCTGACACTTAAGAATTGATCTTAACAACTAATTTCCATAAAAATTGTCAATTCCGGGTACGTCTACACACCTATACGTTTTGAACTTAACTCAAAACTCTTGAGTGTTATCGATTTGATAAACAACTATAGATGTTAAATTACACTTTTCTTATTGCTAGTCCCATGGGAGATACTCTATAAGTTTAATATGTGTATCATGATAGTCATATTCAAGTATAGGGTAGAGATATTCTAGCTGACTAATGTTACTTGATATGATTGACTTTGTTGTGCTAATGGCCATGGATTGGTTATCTCCTTACTATGCTACGGTCGACTACCATACAAGAATAGTCAAATTTGAGATACCCAATGAGCCTACTTTTTTCTTACAAAAGGCATAAAGTTCCATGAAGGTTGGTAGGTTATTTCTCTTGTGAAGGCCCAATGATCACTAAAGAAAGGCTGCATGGGTCACTTAGATATGATAGAGGCGTCAAAGAGGAATACGTAGCTTGGAGGTACCGGTGGTAAAAAAGAATTTTCTGATGTATTTCTTCAGGATTTTCTAGGATTACCTTCGGTAAGAGAAATGGACTTCAGTATTGATTTAACACCTGAGACACTACCTATATCCATACCTCTATATCGTATGGCACCGGCGGAGGCGAGAGCTGAAATAACAAATGTAGGACTTAGCGGATAAAGAGCTTTATTAGATGGTGTATCACCATAGGATGCAATAATATTTTCATAAAGCGGGTCTTTAGATTTTGCATCGACTACAGAAGCTGAACAAAGGTAAAAATACATAATAGGTATCCGTTACAGATGGCCCTGTTTGATCGATTGTAGGGAGTTGTCTAATTTTCAAAAGTTGATCTTTTATCTAGTTATAATAAACATAGTATTACGAAGGAAAGATATTTCCAAAGATAGCATTCAAAACTAAGTATGGACACTACGAGTTCCTTGTAATGCCTTTTTAATTGACAAATGCTTTGTTGCATTTTTTGGACTTGATAAATAGGGTGTTCAAGCCATTCCTAGAAAAATTTGTAATAGTGTTTATTGATGACATCCTAATATATTCTCTTAGCAAGGAATAACATGAGAATCATCGATGATTGTGTTGCGGAGTTGTGTTGCAGACATTGCAAGAACATAAGCTTTATGCTAAGTTCTCAAAGTGTGAATTTTTGCTAGACTTAGTAGTATTTCTGGGGCATGTTGTATCCAAGGATGGAATTATGGTGGATTTTAAAAATATAAAAGAACTATAAAAATGTCATAGACCTACTTCATCTTAAGAGATTTATAGCTTTTTAGCTTGTCAGAGAAGTTGCTATAGGCATTTTGTGTAGGATTTCTACAAGAATAGTAGCTCCATTGACCAAGTTAACGTAAAAAATGTGAACTTCCCGGTGGACAAAAGAAATGTTAAGCAGTCATTTTCAAGAAGATTAAAACATGTTTGACAACTACACAAGTATTCACCTTACCATAAGGTTACGAGAAGAATTCACGGTATTCTTTAATGCCTTGAGAATTGGGATTAGGCTTTGTCCTCATGTGAGCTGGTCATATCATAGCCTATGCTTTGAGGCAATTGAAGAAGCATGAGCAAACTTTTCCTACACATGATTTAGAGATGGCTGCAGTGGCATTAGCTCTTAAGATTTGATCATTACCTATACGACGTAACTTGTGAGATTTATATGACTATAAGATCTTGAAGTATATTTTCTAGCAGAAGATGTGAATCTTTGATAGCATTAATGTATGGAAGCGATTCAAGAGTTATGATTGAAATATTTGTATCATCTTGGAAAAGCTAATGTTATGGGCGATGCATTGAGCAAAAAATCAATGAGTAGTTTGACATATATAGCCCTGAAAGAGACTGTGGTGAAGGAGATGCAGACTTCTGAGAGCACAAGTGCTTTATATTTTGGTGAAAAATCTAGAGACATTATTGGCTTGTGTGCGAAACATAACATCTTCATCATTAGAGTGCATAAGGGCCACTCAATAAGAGGATAGGAAATTGTGCAAATATAGAAATCAGGTCTTAACTGGTAAAAATAAGAAGATGTCAATTGAATGAGATGATATTCTTAGACTAGCTAATTGGTTATATACCAAATACTAGATAGGTTGAGACAAGTTATCCACTGAAGAAAGGCTGTAACACCTCAAACTTTTGGACTAAGTTTAAAACCATTCTAGGTATGTAGATAGATAAAAAAAATTGATATATTGTATTAAAACTAGGTGCTAAGATTAATTTTTAAATTGTGAGAAGTGCATTGGATATGAATTAAGATCATAAGGAATCTCTCGCACAAAGTTGAGTTGGGGAGCCTTCTTATCAATTGAGTTTTCGTATAAGTTATTACAAGGGTAAATTTCATACTACCATAAATCCCAGTTTGCAAAAGTATTTTGGATGATTCAAACCGCCAAATTGAAGCCCTTTGATTATTATTTCAATACATCCAGGCCTTGAATCAATTAGAGTCCAAAGTAAAATGTTATGAGCATTTTAATGAAGCATTGTCAAGTGAAACATCGTCACTGGATGGGTCAAATCGAATTCTAGGATAAAGTTTTTAATTTACTATGTTTAATAACAAAATTCAAAATATTTTAGGACTCCTAAAGAGTATATTGAAGGTTTTATTTAGTCTCAACTCTTATTCTACTTTATTACAACTTGATTTC